ATTTTTTGAATTGTAGACGAACGTGGATAAATAAAACACACGTAAAATGATTTTCGAGACGAATTTAATCGTCGGATCGGCGAGTCTTCCTCATGCTTCCTTTGTGACTGAACAATGCAACGAATCAAATTAGATTTACTTTACAAATAGAATTTTAAGTAAACGATATTTGAATGCAGATTTTTTCGTTAGAATCTTATTAATTTAACTTCGATTCTAGACAAGCAGGGGCGAGCGCCTTTGATTTCCGATCCAGCGGGCCCAGGTTCAAGTCCCAGATGGATCCATATTTCTTTGATTTCTTTATTTGCCAAAAAATAAATCAGATGTAGCACAGGGAAACCAGTAGAGAATCAAAATGCAAATATGCAGAAGTTACTATAGTAACCAAAAATTAACCGGAAGTTAACAGAAAACGTAACAGGAAGTTTACAGGAAAGTGAGCGAGTGACAGCCTGTCCCCTCCCAACAACTGTACGATTGCTTACGCAATCTCCGAGTTAAAAAAAGGTACACCTTTGCTCGCAAGGAAAGACTGTTTGAATATTGGCTGGTATTGGCCATCATGACATCAGATCGAATCAAAAGGGTTAATGACTTAACTATTACATAGTGAAAATCAGAACAATAAGGGCATTTTTGATGCTTAGTGTGCAGATATTTGTCATGAGCATTTGAATATTATGGATCTAGTGATAATATGCTAAAATAATATATGCTTTTATTCCAGGCAAGGCCTCCTTTCGACCCGCTCCAAGACTCACGGGAAAGAGAGTCCAGCATATATTGCATGCACATGTGCAAAACAAGCCAATCAGATTAATTATCAGACGTTTAGCGACTGCTTTGAATTTTTTCAACAGGGGCCACGGAGCGTGAATTTGTTGTTTCTTTTTTTTTTTTTGTACAGTTGCACGGATTAAGTGCGTTCACTCTAGGCGGGTTCGGAAATTTTTGAAATCTCATTTCCAGCCTTTTGAGGCGTTATCAAAGACATTTTACCGCACACAAGGAAAAATTATTGAGGTGGGGGGGGGGAGGGATAGTAGTTTTCAGTAGTCAGTAATTTTCGTCAGTTAGTTATCGAAATTAAGGTATGTGTGGCTTTAGGTAGAGATCCTAACAGTAACCACTGGCAGTGTTTTATGCAGCATAAAGGTCATGCACGTGACCAAACTGGGATACCGAAATCGGTGTAATAGCAAGATTTTTTAAAGAAAGTTTTCAATAGACTTACTTTTTTGCCTGCACCAACTTTAGCTTTCTTAGTTCCTCTGACTTTCTTCATTCTGTTCTTCTTCTCCTTTCTCTGTTTTCTGGCAGGTCTGCTGCCTTCATATAGACCAAGCTAACAAAAACAATTCTTCTTTAACAAGATAGAGTACATGTC